CTTGGCCTTCCCAAAGCCGATAGGTCCTGTCGGCCCTCCAGATGCTGACAGGTCTGCCATCGGCGCCGACGAGCCAGCGTCGGCTGCCACGTCACCCCTATCGGCTTCTGAGGTGCCGACATGATATATCTATTTTTTTGTATAAAAGCTTATAGATTTACAATTAATCAATAAAAACATTATTTAAAAAAATTTGTGCCGAAGCGTGCTTGCAGGTGCGCACAGGCGTGCAGGCAGCGGCCGAGCTAGTGATGGATTGGAGGTGGCAATGACATGAACTAGTACAGAGGTAGCTAGCCATAGCCTGGCTGCTGCATTCGATCCGTGACAGTGCCTCTCTGGCTCTCTGCTTGCTTTCGGCTGAGCGAGAGCGAAACGTCTATCCCTGCTGCAAAGCGAGAATCATTGGCATTACCGAAGAAAGGGATACGACTGGAAGGAACCCACGTAATTTTGACTTCCAACCCCTTGTAGGCTAGATGGAAAATTCAAAGCTTGTTAGCTCGCTCAGTTCCTAGCTGGCTCGGCTCGGCTCATTATCATAACGAGTCGAGATGAACCAAGATTTTAGCTCGTTAGCTATAACAAGCCAACTCGAGCCAGCTCGCGAGCTTCTATGAAAAAAGTCATCATAACTTATATTAGTTTTGTATTACATAATGTCTTGCACTTTACAATTGGTTGATGGCCTATCTGGACTCTATAAACTTGGGATTATTATGACTTTATGATTTTGTTTTTAATGGATGTATGGATAATCATAGAACATAGATGCATTACGTATGGTATGGAGTATGTACCATGAATGTATGATGTAATACTATACTATATTATTATACTTGTATATATGTTAGCACATATAAATATTTTTTTTCGATTTAAGGTAGTTGGATGTCTTACTTTTGCATTATTACTATTCTCAAGCTTTAGATAAATGTAAATATTATATTTTGTGTACTTTTTTATACCTGCCTCGCAAGCTTAACGACCCTGTTCGAGTTCATAAACGAGCCGAGCCGAGCTGGCTTTCTGGCTCCTTAAGATAACGATGAGCCAGAACGAGCCGAGCCGAGCCGAGATGAGTTGGCTCGTTATCCAGCCCTGTCTCCAACCATCTCTCAAATTTGTCTCTCTCACCAGTATTTTAGTCATATCTTAAATATCTAGATAAGTATGCTTGATGATTGATCTGAAATGAATCCTTTACCATCAGATGATTGATCTTAGCCGGAGCTTCGAGGACTTCAAATTTCTGTTTGCCAATAGAAGATGTAATAGATTAGCTCATGAATGAGCTAGACGTATTGTGGTATTCTGTAATAGACTGGTGGAGTAGTGGTTTATAACCCCACCAGCTAATATCATAGACGGTGAATGTAATTCTGCCCATGGTTAATGAATGAAGCTCCAAATGTCCATAAAAAATACTTGATTTCAAAAATGCATTAGTTTTTAAATTAGTGGTAAGGTTGATTAAAGGAACTTTTACGATGATCTTGATTATTGAAACCAAGTCTGATCATGATTTTTTTTTTATTATAGGCAAGCCTTAGATTGTGCAAAACTGAATTGGAATAGTTCACACCAAAGACAATATAACTGGTACTTTAGAGATTTTTTTTGATGAACCGAATGAATTAATGAGCCATCACTCAAGAGCTGACTTCAATCACTCCTATTCTAGTACGGAGTACATTGAATTGTTTGTACCATACGGAGTACACTTTTTCCCCGTATTTCAGCCTCAGCCATCCATCCATAAGACCATAAGGTCAGTCAGGCCCAGGCATAATTCACCCGTCCCCTTCTAAAAAAAGAAAAGAAAAAGAAAAACTCACCTTCGGTCCTGCAAGGCTTCAGCCCCCACCGGCTACTCACCCTCGCAGACACAGCGCTCCCATCCCTCTCGTTCTTCTTTTCTCCACTCCACGCCTCTCACTGCCCCAGCAACACGGCAGCGTCTCACTCAACTACCGCCGCTAGTCCTCCCTCGCCCTCCCACCGCGCCATGGTCGACCGCAGATGGAGCGCTGGAGAGACGGTAGCTCTCATTGATGCATGGAGGCTATTGTACAACCGCCGACAAGGTGGCGAATGCGACGTGTGGGTGCCGGCGAACCAGTCAGCAGCCAGCGCCAGCAAAGCACCGTGCTCTCGTCGGCGAGGACGGAGGGCGTGTACACGGCGTCAATGGCTTCCGTGCGAAATCAAGCTCGACCCCGATCGAGCACACACACAACAGTGCCAGAGGCGTGTGGAGCGGCTCAAGAGTCGATTCGGCGATAAGCGACTTTGCCACAACATCATGGTATGGCTTTGTGCCCGTCGTCTCACGACAATACCGCTGGCAAAGGCGCGGCACTCTAGGCTTCGTGCATGCTAGCAATCGTGGCCATGGAGGCCCACGGTGAAGGTGGTGGTGGCGGTGCTGTGGGAGGAAAAGCTCATGGCGGCTTGGTGGCGGCCGAGGGCGGCGGTTCTGCAATGCGATGAGGTCGGTGGTGTCGTGATGGGTGTCCCGTGCGGCGCCGCCACGGAGAACGCGAGCGACGGCGTGGCCGTGGAGGTGGAGGAGGGCGGTACTGCTACCACGCCAGAGGAGGCACTCGGCAGCGGCGCTGCATCGGAGGATCCTCCGTCCGGACCTATGGATGGCCTCACCGCCGCTGTGACTGACTTCTTTGGGGGCCCGATTCGCAAGAAGCGGAGGACCTATGCCTCCACCTACACCTCTGCCGGTGCTGGGGACGGGCGAGCTCCCTCCGTCAAGGAGGAGCTGGTCTGCGAGAGAAGCCGCGCCTTGGCCGTGTGGACGAGGGACGCGCACCAGCCGGCGGTTTTCTTTGCCCACCACTTGGCGAAAACGGGCGCCACGCACTGGGTGAGGTCGTGTCGCGGTTTGTTCGTAAAAAAGACCTCGTCTCGGGTCATAAAGTATAAAATAGTGTAATCGCTCTCGATAGCTGAGAGGGATGTCGGCCTCTGGAGGGCCTACAGGCCTCTCGTCCTTCCCAAAGCCGATAGGACCTGTCGGCCCTCCAGATGTCGACAGGTCTGCTATCGGCGCCGACGAGCCAGTGTCGGCTACCACGTCACCCCCTATCTGCTTCTGAGGTGCCGACATGATATATCTATATTTTTTGTATAAAAGCTTATAGATTTACAATTAATCATGAAAAATATTATTTAAAAAAATTTCGTGCTGAAGCGTGCTTGCAGGTGTGCACAGGCGTGCAGGCAGCGGCCGAGCTGGTGATGGATTGGAGGTGGCAATGACATGAACTAGTACAGAGGTAGCTAGCCATAGCCTAGCTGCTGCATTCGATCCGTGCCAGTGCCTCTCTGGCTCTCTGCTTGCTTTCGGCTGAGCGAGAGCGAAATGTCTATCCCTGCTACAAAGCGAGAATCTTTGGCATTCAAGGACAAATCGGAGAAAGGGATACAACTGGAAGGAACCCACGTAATTTTGACTTCCAACCCCTTGCAGGCTAGATGAAAAATTCGAAGCCTGTTAGCTCGCCCGGTTCATAGCTGGCTCGGCTCGGCTCATTATCACAACGAGTCGAGACGAACCAAGACTTTAGCTCGTTAGCTATAACAAGCCAACTCGAGTCAGCTCGCGAGCTTCTATGAAAAAAGTCATCATAACTCATATTAGTTTTGTATTACATAATGTCTTGCACTTTATAATTGGTTGACAACCTATCTAGACTCTATAAACTTGGGATTATTATGACTTTATGATTTTGTTTTTAATGGATGTATGGATAATCATAGAACATAGATGCATTATGTATGGTATGGAGTATGTACCACGAATGTATGATGTAATACTATACTATATTATTATACTTGTATATATGTTAGTACATATAAATATTTTTTCGATTTAAGGTAGTTGGATGTCTTACTTTTGCATTATTACTATTCTCAAGCTTTAGATAAATGTAAATATTATATTTTGTGTACTTTTTTATACCTGCCTCGCAAGCTTAACGACCCAGTTCAAGTTCATAAACGTGCCGAGCAGAGCTGGCTTTCTGGCTCGTTAAGATAACGATGAGCCAGAACGAGCCGAGCCGAGCCGAGATGAGTTGGCTCGTTATCCAGCCCTGTCTCCAACCATCTCTCAAATTTGTCTCGCTCACCAGTATTTTAGTCATATCTTAAATATCTAGATAAGTATACTTGATGATTGATCTGAAATGAATCCTTTACCATCAGATGATTGATCTTAGCCGGAGCTTCGAGGACTTCAAATTTCTGTATGCCAATAGAAGATGTAATAGATTAGCTCATGAATGAGCTAGACGTATTCTGGTATTCTGTAATAGACCGGTGGAGTAGTGGATCCAGCTAATATCATAGACGCTGAATATAATACTGCCCTTGGTTAATGAATGAAGCTCCAAATGTCCATAAAAAATACTTGATTTCAAAAATGCATTAGTTTTTAAATTAGTGGTAAGGTTGATTAAAGGAACTTTTACGATGATCTTGATTATTGAAACCAAGTCTGATCATGATTTTTTTTATTATAGGCAAGCCTTAGATTGAGCAAAACTGAATTGGAATAGTTCACACCAAAGACAATATAACTAGTAGTTTAGAGATTTTTTTGATGAACCGAATGAATTAAAGAGCCATCACTCAAGAGCTGACTTTAATCACTACTATTCTAGTACGGAGTACATTGTATTGTTTGTACCATACGGAGTATATTTTTTTCCCCGTATTTCCATCCATCCATAAGACCATAAGTCAAGTCAGGCTCAGGCATAACTCAACCGTCCCCTTCTGAAAAAAAAGAAAAGAATAAGAAAAACTTACCGTCGGTCCTACAAGGCTTTAGCCCCCACCGGCTGCTCACCCTCGCTGACGCAGCGCTCCCATCCCTCTCGTTCTCGTTTTCTCCACTCCACGCCTCTCACTGCCCCAGCAGCACTGCAGCGTCTCACTCAGCTACCGCCGCTAGTCCTCCCTCGCCCTCCCACCGCGCCATGGTCGACCGCAGATGGAGCGCTGGAGAGACGGTAGCTCTCATTGATGCATGGAGGCCGCTGTACAACCGCCGACGAGGTGGCGAATGCGACGTGTGGGTGCCGGCGAACCAGCGCAGCCGGGCGCGCAGCACCGGCGCTCTCGTCGGCGAGGACTGGAGGGCTGTGGCCACGGCCGTCAATGGCTTCCGCACCGAAATCAAGCTCGACCCCGATCGAGCACACAAACAGTGCCAGAGGCGTGTGGAGCGGCTCAAGAGCCGATTCGGCGATAAGCAGCTTGCCACACCGTCATGGTATGGCTTTGTGCCCGTCGTCTGCAACAACACCGCGGGCGGGCGCGGGCACTCTAGGCTTCGCGTGCTAGCAACTGCGGCCATGGAGGCCCACGGTGGCGGTGGTGGTGGCGGTGCTGCGGGAGGAAAAGCTCGCGGCGGCTCGGCGGCGGCTGAGGGCGGTTCTGCAGCGGTGGATGTCGGTGGTGTCGTGGTGGGTGTCCCCGTGGGCGGTGCCACGGAGAACGCGAGCGACGGCGTGGCCGTGGAGGTGGAGGAGGGCGGTACTGCTACCACGCCAGAGGAGGCACTCGGCAGCGGCGCTACGTCGGAGGATCCTCCGTCCGGACCTGTGGATGGCCTCACCGCCGCCGCGACTGACTTCTTTGGGGGCCCGATTCCCAAGAAGCGGAGGACCTTTGCCTCCACCTCCACCTCTGCCTGTGCTGGTCAAGGAGGAGCTGGTGCGCGAGGCGAGCGCGCGCCGCGCTCGTGTGGACAAGGGACGCGCGCCAGCCGGCGGTTTCGCTGCCACCGCGGCGGAAACGGCCGCCGCGCTGGGTGAGGTCGTTGCCGCGGAGTCCAACGACATGGCAGTGGTGGCGAAGCTGTCCGAGATGTTCAAAGAGGCGACCACGATGTACAGAGAGATTACGATGGAGAGGATGGAGCTCCAGAAGCAGATGGTGGCAGCGCTGGCTGCGACTACGGGTGGTGCCGCCGTGCCGGAGCCGGATGCCGCCCCGTACATGCCTGTCGTGGGCGTCTGACCCGGGCATGCTATGGAATTACTGGGATCACAGCATTTTGTTGCGCGGTCTTCTTTTGTCTCGTTTGGCTGCATTGTGATCTTATGCATGGACTATGTGTGAACCATAATTTGCTAGGTTGATGTATAGTATGAAGTATGAACCAGAGTAGCCCAATTAGCTTGCTAGGTTTGGTTTCTGTTTATGTACATATATGAACCAGTATTTGCTGTTCCTTACTCTGTGTGTTGTTATGCTTAACCCGCTCTTCTAATATGCTTCAGGACTGGCTTCGAGCGGCTGGTAAGCAATGCTTTTAACTTCCTTCAATTATATCTCTAATACATCTAACATGTCAATTGGCGGTGCTTATCTCTAATACTTGTAACATATCAATAGGCGGTGCATATCTCTAATACTTGTAACATATATCAATTGATCATTGTAGGATCTTTAGACACCATAGCAATTGACACTTTGATAGCAACTGACTATAAATCTCTAATATCCGTCATTTCTATCCTTCTGCTAAGGTCTGCCATTTCTATCTTTTGCCCTATTCGCTTGGCTGATAAGCCATGGCTGAAAGTTCTGTTGGCTGATTTGTTATGAGAGAAAAATATTGTTCATTGGCTGAAAAAATGACTTATAAGCCAAGCGAACATGGCGTTTATGTTCATGCAGCTAGTCGACGCCGGCCCCCCCTCCCTCTCCCGGCCCCCTGCCCCGGCGGAGGGACGGCACCCCAAGCCCCGTCGGCGGCGCGCGGGCCAGGGGCGAGCTGCAGCCCCCTGGTCGAGAGCGGCGACGCATGGTCCAGGGGTGAGCTCCCCCGTGGGAGTGGCGGCGTGGGGCCGCGAGGAGCTTCCCCATCGAGGGCGGCGGCGCGCGGGCCCCTACGGTGAGCTCCCCCACCCTCTCTCCCTCTTCTTACCCCTTTTGCGCAGGGACATGGTGGTGTGGTGGCGGGGGACGTGGTGGCGGCGGGCACGGTGGCAGCCGCGGCGGCGTGGTGGTGGCGGGCGGGCGGCGTGGTGTTGGCGGCTTGGTGGCGCGTTTTTATATATATTTTGAAAATTCTTTGCCGAGTGTCGGTTTAGCACTCGGCAAAGTGTTTGCCGAGTGCTCGATAAAAAACACTCGGCAAAGACAGCTTTGCCGAGTCTTTGTTCGTCGAGTGCCGTTTGCCGAGTATAATACTCGACAAAGCCTTTGCCGAGTGTTTTTTGGGCTTCGCCGTGTGCTCTAGACACACGACAAAGCTACTGATTCCGGTAGTGTTGGTATGTGCTGCAATGTGTGTAGTGTGGCTATGTGGGAAATGAAAATGGGATTTACAGCTAGCTGCTCGTGATTGTCATGGTAGCTTGTTGTGCCTTATTCATTTATCCCTTGCATATCAAATGTCAGTTTTTTTTTGTTCTATTTAGTTCCCCGGATTTTAACAGGATAGTGAAAAAATATCTAATGATAATCAAAGGATTGTTTATATTCAGAGAGGAGAAATGTCTGAAAGATTAGTAAAGCTGATTAGGTTCATATGTCTATCGTGTAGTTACCCAGTGCCTGAGTTCAACATAAACATTTCTTTAGCAAGGTTTCAATCAGCTGTTTGGCATGCAATTTAGTTGTTGAACTATTAGCCGTCAAGAGCTAAGCCTTTCTTTCGCTGAACGACACAATCAGGTTAGACTAGCTTAGTAGCCAAGACTATGAACTAATGGACTTGGCTAGCAAGTCTAATAGTTCAATAGCTAAATAGGACTTGCTCAATGTAATACAGCATTCTCAAACTAGGACTTGTTCAGTATTATACTCTTGAGACAGCTACCAAATATAGGTGTATAGATTTTGCAAGTTTTCAATAGAAATGCAGAATAAGTTTGTCCTAGAAAAGGAACTAGAATATGCTTAGTCAGTGCTGATTGGTTACTTTATACTTGGACTGATTGGTTAGTTGGTAATATCTGAGGCTCGATGTGGAATGTGGATTCCATGCTGCGTCGTTTATATGACAGGTTGAGTTTTATGAAATGGTTGATTACATTACTAATAGTTAGTCAAAGGCGGAAAAGAGTTTTTTCTCTGACTTTTTTATTTGTAATAGGAACACGCACACAAGCAACAAAACATTTTTTTCACTCAGTCAGTATATGCTTGAAAGTTGTTTTCTAGCAGCCATGCAATTAGCAACAATTTGAGGTTAACTTGTCATTCTCATTCATCTGTTTGTATCCTGTGTTTGTGTTCCTTTACTGAATATTCAAAATTCCCTTGTTTTGTTTTACCTTGTTAGAGAATGTTTTGCTGAACTAGTGAATGTATATATGCTTCAAACAATTCAGATAAATTGCATGATTGTGAATTCATGCATTGTACATAGCTACATAATCTCCTTCACAATCAACAGTTGTGTGCCTGTGAATTTATCTTTTACATAAGGACTTGGTCTACCTGGATGTCATGCTGTTTATTGAAGATATTATATTTGTACGTCATAGCTATGTGTGAATTTTTGTATATTCAGAATGTCATGCTGTTTAATCAAGATGTTATCTTGTCATGCTGTTTAATCAAGATATTATCTGGATGTCATAGCTACTTGTGATATTATTTAGCATTTGGAGCTTGGAGCACCTGTGGGCTGTGGCCCAATTTAGGTTAAAACTTAAAAGTGCAAACCTGTGATATAAGAAAGTCGTTGAAAATGCCAGCCCTGCAAAATAGTTATGTCAAAAATTTGAGTTGATATTATGAGATTTTTGCCGTAGCAAAGTTGAGTTTAGGACTTGGAAGGAGGGGGCCGGGCCTGAAGAAGGACAATTATTATTATCTATAACCGTATAACCTGCTATGTGGCTAAGTTGAAGTTTCAATCTTTGCCGGCATTTTCTCATGAATCAGAGATGTCATGTGTGAATGATTGCAACTGGAGCCTTATGTATCACAATGCGCCATGGACCTCGCAGCATCGACAACTTCATCTACTTGTGCAGAAACTACTGAAAACATTTTGCATGATGGCAGTCCAGCTTTGTAGTTATGATTTCCTAGAGAGTGCCCATGTTCAAATGATTCCCATCAGCATCTAGTGTTCACTGTTTCTTCTTGTAGTTTTGATTTCCATTTCTGAAGTAATAATTATTTAAGTTAAGGGAACATCTCTTGTGAAAAGAATGAATGGCAGACGTGCCATTAGTGAGCTTGAGGTGCGCAATTATGTCTTGCTGAACGACAGAGATCTGACTGGAGTTTCTTAGCAAATAGAAACAAAAACAATCATGACAGATTCTCAAAAAAAACAATCATGACAGTCTGTATTTGCATGCCTTATTTAGCTCTAAATGTGCCTGTTTATTTTTGCATGCTTTATTTAGTTCTAGCGGGCTCTGCAATCATGGCTCTGCTATGACTACCCTGCCCGTCGGCTCTGCTAGGCTTTGGAGGCTCCACCACCAAGCGCAGGAGCAGCATGCGGGGCTTGCTTGCTAGTGGCCATGCACTGAGCCCGCAAATCTGAGTCGCGACCATTGCGGGCTTGCGGCAGCGTGCGGGCTGTCCGCAACACGATCTACTTGAATCCCGACACGCGTTCAACCGAGGCTGGCCAGCAGGTCGAGGTAGAACGTACGGAACGCCTCCATCTCGGCGCGCGGCACCGCCAGACCGACCTAGATGCCGCCGTCCCCGTCGCGGCCGCTCTCTGCCAGAGCCAGCGCACCCGTGCGTTCCCCGGATGCGATCTCCACCTTCCTCGGTCTGCCCCACGCCCGGCCGAAATCCGCGGCCGCGTACACCCCCAGCTTCGGCGACCCCGCCACGGTCACCGCCCGTGCCGAAGCGTACTCCCGCACCCAGTGCACCCACCCCCGAGAGCCCCGGAACACGCTCCCTGCCTCGGCAAGCCCCTCGATCGCTCGCCATATGGCAGCTGAGGCGGCTGCCGCGGTGAGTTCCCAACGCTTTGCGTGGACGCGGCAGAGACCGAGGCAGTTGCCGAAGTAGTTCGCCGGTATCGGCGGGCTCGCGCGGGGCTTGCACCCCGTCACGAACCCGAAGTGCGCGTCGGGTGCGGTTCCTCCGTCCATGCCGCTGCCGCGGCCAGCCCACGCGGCGCCGCACGCCAGCGCGTTGGGTGAGCACCGCGCCGAGGTCTCCGACTCGACGCGCCTCCCGAGCGCGCGGAGTTGCCTCTCGGTGAACCGGAACGTGACGAGCACGGCGCCAGGGCGGCGACTGAGGTCCCAGCAGTCAAGGCGCTCGTCGCCGCCGGCTTTACCGAGCGTTCGGTTGTCGCGCGGGAACGCCTCCCGCAGGCCAGCGTCGTCCCGCACGACGCCGCGGTCGAACAGCGGGGGCACATCCTGCGCGGCAACCCACGTGCTGAGGAAGTGCGTGTAGCTGGCACCGTCGGCCACGGCGTGGTGCACCGTCGTGCCGATGCAAATGCCGGCACGTGGGAACACCGTAATCTGGACTGCGAGGACGCCCTGCTGCGGCCGAGACCCGCCGTGCTTCGGCAGCGCGCGGAGCCTCGTGGTGTCGCGGGCGTGGTCGCCGGCGAGGTCTCGGAAGTCGTCATCGCTGAAGGCCACGGTTAGTGGTACGGAGTCGCCGTCCGAGAACACGACCTCCGCCTCGCACGTCAGCTTCCCCGCCAACGGATAGAAGTGGTGCAGCGCGGCGGCGAGGGAGTTCCTAAACCGTGCCAGCTCGCCGAGCGTGAAATCGGAGACGTCGAGGAGGTCGGCATTGTCGTAGAAGAACAGGCGCTGCACGGGCGGGATGGACCAGAACACGAGGTCGAAGAACGTGAGCGGTAGCGCTCGTGGCTGCCCCACCGCCGGTGCCGGCGTCGGCGCGACGTGAAACTGCTCCAGGACAGTCACGAGGTGAGGTGGTGTTGGCGCCATATCGTGGCCGACGGAATCTTTGGGTCCGGAATGGCTGGTTAGTGGTTACTCTCAAATCACCATGGGCCATGGGGCAAGCGGCCTGCGGCCTGCGGCCACGTCCTACTGAAACGCGTTGAAGCTGAGCGCTTCTGCTTATCTCTTGTGCGTACGGAGGCACCTGCACCACACCTCCGACAGGGGTGGAGCGCGACGCCCTACCAGGCCGAAGAGGAGTGGATGACGTGGAAGGACGGATCCATGCAAGCGGGAGCGGCACCCACCGCAGTGTCGGTGGACGCATGAGATTCAGAGATTGAGATAATATATGATAATCTCAAGGCAAAATAATATTTCAAGCGTTATAAGTTCAGTCTTTGCTTTCCTCGATTCCGTGTCGCCCAAGGGCCAATGGATAGGTTGAGATTACTTACTTTGTTGGTCCACGTACAAGTCTGCTGCGGCTTTCTGAATTCATCTGCATAACTGCACACGATTACTCGTTTTAGGGTGTTTTAAGTCAAATATTTTAAACTTTGAGTATAAATAAAAAAATTTGGGTTGAGTTTAAAAATATGAAAAAGATGTAAGTAGATTTATCTCTAAATGTAGTTTTATAAAAGTATATATTGACTATATTTATAAATATTTTATAGCAAATTTTTTAAAGACTGTGTCGATGTCCAAAACAACTTTATTTAGAGACTTCTATGGAACCATTTCCCATCGTATGAGATTATGAGAAGGTTTCTAATACTGTGGCCTGTGGGATTGGGTTGGTACATGAAAAGCTTACCTATGTTCACTTCTTTTCTCCTTCTATAATCCTATCTAATCAACTGTACATGTAATCCTACTGCCGATTGCAATCTCACATGATCATATATTTTATGGGCATGTTCAGCCACGAGAATAAGCGGCTACGGCTGCTGCATCCATTTATTCTCCACTCTCAAAATACTGCAGCAAGTATTGTAGCTACAATATTTCAAGAGAAGGGAATAAACGGTTGCAGCAGCCATAGCCCCGAACATGCCCTATGTCTTCAGGCCTTATTTGGATATCCATGTATCAACCTCTTAATCCATGTGTATTCCACACCAACCCATCCCAACATATTTAGATTAAAGTGGATACATTGACATCCAAACAAGCCCTCAACAGTTTTTCTTTCTCGCTACAAAATGTGTTGCCGACATATCATCCACTGATCCACCTCATCATTTTTTGCATGAGGCTCATGATTCCTTGAGAGGGTTTCTGTTAGGTTGTAGTTAGTCTGAGAGTGGTTGGCTGTTCTTGGATTAGAGTGTGTTTGTTTGTGTCCCTCGCGTTGATACTCGATACTAGTCTATCTTTTCTGGCATGAGGCCGATAGTATACGCGTGTGTTTGAGAGATGGAGCATGCTGTCGAGAGGGTTTAACAAACTAGTGTGTCGGTGCCTTGAATTTGGCGTCCCCTTTGTAAACTAGTGCTAAATTTCACAGCACTGTTTCTAGAAATAACATGTACGGAGTAGTACATGATAAAATGAAACAAAAACCCACAATTCCTATGCCACGTAATCTGGATGAAACTTATCTCTCTTCTCATAGTTAACTCCTATGTCATGTAAACACCACTACAAGGTCTATCTTGTAAGACAATGTTCCAAATATCATCAAATTGTCTAACCCGTACAATTCTCATTGAGAGGCATATCAATATGTCCAATCATTAGTGGCCACGGTTCTGTCTCCCAATCTCCTTTTGTCCTTTCTCATTCCAAGCACTTGCAGAATGCCGCCATAAAGTTTGCAGACTGCTGCTGTAAAAATCTTAATATCAGCTGAAACAGTTCTCCACTGATTCTTCATTCATCCAATGCATTTCAATATATTATAAAGAAAATTTTTTGGATCCTTGGAGGCATGATTTCTTGAGCATCCCGCACCATGAATAAACTGTGCCTCTCACCACTATCGTTCAGAGCCCCAAACTAATTTCTATGATTTTTGTTCTGACTTCCAGGTTTCTTGGAGCCCGATTTTGCAAAGGGTATAAACATGAAGATTAGCCTAGACAAAGGGAAATGGCAACTTTCATGAAGGCTCAAGAGGACTACTACAGCGACCTGTGACCCTGATGAAGAGACCTAGAGATTATGGGCACGTTTGGTTCCACCGGTGATTCTTGCCTCATATCGCTCAACCACATAACAAAGAAAGAAATGTGATGGGATTCCTGTAACACCCCAGGCCAGCACATAGCCCAGACCCACTCTACCGAGGGGTGGGTCCCACCTACGTAGTAACCCGCTTACGCTTTCATCATCGCTTCGCGCAAAACGGTTAACCGAAGGTTACTACGCGTCATTTGTCTAGCTATTTAAGCTGGTTCGGCGAACTCAGTGTACTAAACTTCCGGTTGCACGGCGTTTCCGTGGCTACAGTAAATCGGCGCTACAGTAACTCCGAGTTCGACCTAGCCCAATTCAACACTATAGCTACAGCAACCCGGCCCAACCGCAATTCAGCCCATGAGCTGGGTCTCACATCCACCGAACCTCAATGGGTTCGACGTCCTCGTCGAGCAATCAAACCAGCTTACCCATACGGGACAAATGCTCAGGATCAACTGTCTTAGCATCGTGGGAAACACTGTAGTGGTGAAGTTTAGTACCATACTGGAAGTTGGAGGAGAGCTGAGCCAGCTTAAAAGCCTGGACCTGAGAGGCTGTAAACTCCGGATCGATCCTTTTGCGCGAAGCGAGGACGAAAAGCGCAAGAGACTTAATTAGCAAATGTGGTTCATTCAATACGTAGAGTGGGCCTTAGCTGTCTTCCTGAGTCGGGGCGTTACAATTCCTCTTTGGGTTACCTTGTGGCCTGCGCAAGCAAGTTTTTCCTTGATGAAGGAAGAGAGGAAAATCGGCTCTCCACTACCTGCAATGCAAGGCTTGCATGTGAAAGCAAGGCCTGGTGAGATTGGCTTTGGAACCAAACGTAACCTATGTCTCTGCAAGTAGCATGCAGAACATTTCACTTCTGAGGATAGAGTATTATTTCTTATATACAATGATTCAAGGAGAATATGATCTGTGCACGATTATTCGCTTTCTTTGTAGAACTTTTTCTATGTTATTGGTTGATTTTTTGTCCCTTTATCTCCTCAAGTCATGTCATGGCAATATGGATAATGTTGAGCTGAAGCTACAGAGAATTAGCTCGCACTTCTTATTGTTGCAATGACTTTGCTGAGACTTGTTCGCATAATTTGTTCATTATAAAAGCAACGACACTTCTTTTGTGCTTATCAACCACAGTGACAAACAATATCATAATTACGATTTCAGTTTATTTGACATAGCAATCTTAGTCATACATATGATAGAAACATTAATCAACTCATATTAAATTGTAATATTCCAAGGAGCCTCTTGCTATCATTTAAGAATAAAACATATGCTATTTATTTATTTATGTAAATGTGTACATATACTCTATATTCCTTTTAATGTTCCTCCTAAATCATCGCAACAAAATGGAAATTTATTCTAGCTAACTAGGAATAAAAATTCCTCTGGAGTTGACCAATCAAATTACCACACTACTACAGACTGACCTTCACTGATGGCCCATCACTTTCGGAAGTATGTTGAGCTCGATCTGTATGTTTTATGAGTTTCAGATGTATGTTTTAAATGTCGAGCTCTGTATGTTTCAAATGTTTCAGAAGTATGTTGTAAGTGTTTCATATGGATGTTGCAAAAGTACGTAGATCATGATGTTGAATATGTTGCAATGGTTGTACACATATGTTGCAAGCTTTTGTTCCCAATGTTTTATCTGTTTTTCTAGACGTATGTTGCAAGTTGTTTATTTGGTGTTTCATATGTTTCACACATATGTCGCAAGTGCTTTATCTGGGTTTCAACTGTTTTTGCAAGTGTTTCAGATGCATGTTTCGAGTGTTTCATTCAAACGTATGCTGCAAGTGTTAAATTTGGATCTTTAAAAGGTGGATTGGATGTTGCATTTCTCTCCTCACCTTATGTCGCCTCACCTTGGTGTCTCTTCTCCTCCCAGCACCGGCTGGGCATCCGTCGCCCCCTCCCGCTCCTCTCGATGCTGGTGACGTTCGGGGGCAAGGGGGAGGGCGCAGGCCCCATGTGGGCGCGGGAAATGGACTGCAGGCGTAGGCATCCAGACGCCCCGTCCGTTTGGACGTCCGGGCACTAGCAAACCCGAACCTAGAACAAGCGGTGATAAGCGCCTTTGGGTTTCAGTAAAGTTTAGGCCTCGTTTAGTTTGCCCGAATCGGCGACGGCGAATGCACTGTAGCTACACTGTAGCTACAGTATTGTCGGGTACCTTAGAACGAGGTACCCCAAGCAAACATCAAAACAAAGCTAGAAGGTAAGCCGTGGGCCCCTCACCTGCCACGACCGAGCCCTCCTCCACCTCGCCTCGAGCCTCGAGCAGGAGGTCTCGGAACGAACTCCGCCTCGCGCGAGGCTCCCCAGGGTAGGCCCCGGCAGGGGGCGCCGAGCCTCGGCAGGGGACGCCGTCTCTGTCTCGCCCGAGGCTATCCAGGGAAGGCCTCGACAGAGGCCTCATTCTCCATATCGCGCGAGGCCTCATTCTCCGTGTCGCTCGAGGCCGGCTCGTCCATGGTCCGTCGCCCCCCGTCTCGGCCGACCCTCCCAACAACTCGTCATGTCTCATTAATGCTTCAACCACTCCCGCAATCTCAGCCGGACGGTGGCTCAACGCCACAGGATGGCCGACGCGACCTGAGGTCGCATCAGCGCCATACCGGCCGGGACAGGCCACTGTGTCCTACCACTGTGTCCTACCACTGTATCCTACCACTGTGTCCACGACCAGCACCATACCGACTGGGAAAGGGTACGACGGGGATTACCGACCACTGTGTCCAAACGCTGTACCCATGATCGGCCGCCCGCTCAAGGCCTCGGCACTGTACACCGAGGCCTCGGCGATCTTGGGGTTCGTGCCTGCCGAGACCCCCCCATCG